TACCAAAAGATTCAATTATTTTAACTTTTTTAATTATTTTTGTTGACAATCTTTTTGATAACATAAAGTATCTTTCTGATTTATTGTTTCAATATTAGGCAATAGAAATGTCAATATTTAAAAATCACAATAAGACATTCTAAAAACTTTGATGGAGCAAGATTTTCTTCATTTAAGTTTGCCAAAATGAGATCGATATTCGATCATTTTAAATAAACATCCCGTTCTTCTAAATTTTTATTTGATAACTCAAACACATAATGTGATTTTTAAAAAACTAGAGTACCCGTTAAATAATACACGCGAAAGCGCGATTACCTAAGAAACTAGTTATATTAAAAGTGGGCCCCAAACTAAAAAGTTGAATTACTACTAAATACGCCTTTTTTACATTATTTAATAACTTAAATTATAAAAAGAAACTTTATCCTACGAAGAGTTGTCAAGCCAATGCTTAAAAAGTCAACAACTATTCATTTTTACCAATCTATCTATCTATATCTATATTTATATTACAAAGTGGAAGCCCCAAACTAAAAAAGTTGAATTACTAAAAACGCCTTTTTATATCATTCTTAATATTAATTAAAAACAAAAACCTATTCCTACGAAGAGTTGTCAAGCCAATGCTAAAAGTCACAACTATTCATTTTACCAAGCCAAAAAGAACAATCACAACTATTCCTTGTAAGTAGTCAGTATACATGTGCATTTGTGTATGTGGTATGTTTCTCCTTCGTAGTTGTGATTGTTATTTTTGGCTTGGTAAAATGAATAGTTGTGACTTTTAGCATTGGCTTGACAACTCTTCGTAGGAATAAGTTTTTTTTTTAATTAAGTTACGAAATGATGTAAAAGGGTATTTTAGTAATTCAACTTTTTAGTTTGGGGCTTCCCACTTTTAGTATAATATAGATAGATAGATAGATTGGTAAAATGAATAGTTGTGACTTTTAGCATTGGCTTGACAACTCTTCGTAGGAATAAGTTTCTTTTTATAATTAAGTTATTAAAATAATGAAAAAGGGTATTTTAGTAATTCAACTTTTTAGTTTGGGGCTTCCCACTTTTAATATAATATAGATATAGATTACTATCACATCATTACTCCCATCATGACACCATGATTAATCCCCTAGTTCATCTTCATCACTTAACCACACTATTATAAATTATTCGAATTGTTTGCATAGCACCAGTTTCCTTAACAAAAAAAAAAAGAGATTAATGCGGTCATCATTGTATAATAGTTTTAATCCAATCAATATCTAATTTTTACTTAATCATTGTGTTTCCGCTATAAACGAAAAATATTACGTGCAAATCAGATAGTTTTCCATTCCATTGCACGATCCCACCTATATTAAATTCATCAATGTGGCATAATTATTACTCATTTAGTTACGACTTGCATTATTGGCTAATTATTGATAAGGTATAAATACTAATGTCCTCTTAATTCAATTGACTCAACACTGTAAAGATAGAAATAGACACATTTTTTAGTGGAATGAAAAATTTTATTCATCTCCAAACCAGTACATCAATAAGAATACAAAAAGAGATCTATAGAGCAGCTATCTATGCTTCTACCTATATAATGAAACTGTACAATTCCTTCCTATCTATCTATATATTTCTTCTATCCATCTTCCATCTTTCCCTTTTATTCTCTTGTTTAATACTTCTACCATTCGAACCTTGCATTCTTCCTTGATTTGCTCACACACTTTATGTGGGCACTGAACTCTTCCATACAACTTCATTCCTACCTTTCCGTACATAGTAGTTGGTTGCTGCTAAAGCTGCATATGCAAACTCTCTGCTCAGTTTTCCAACCATCTTCCTTGCCACTCTTCTCCATAATAGCTGCCCCTCCAAGTTTGTGACTCTGATTTTTAGCCATTCCAATATTATGCCAATACATCTACTGGAGAACTGGCATTCATAGAAAAGGTGTTCTATAGTTTCCTGTTTCTCCCCACACAACACACATAGGCTATCAGTATTCACACCTCTGCTCCCCAGCCTATCCTTAGTGAGCAGCTTCTTTTGCATAGTCAACCAGCAGATGAAGTTGTGTTTTGGCATGTTCTGTTTACTCCATACCCATCGTCCCCATGGACATTTGTCTAGGGATCCTTTCAGCCATTCATATCCCTTTTGTATTGTATATTTTCCTGTACTTGACTGCCACCCCTTGTTTACATAACCTGCTGCCAGTTTATCTCTAACAATGCATATTTTCTTCCAGTACCAGCTACTGTCATTTGCTGCTATATACTACCACCATTCTACATCTTTAAGGTAAATATGGTTTATCCACTTGACCCATAATGAGTCAGTTTTTTGAGTGATATCCCACACATATTTTCCTATTGCAGCCTCATTCCATGCTACACAGTCCTTTATTCCTATTCCTATTCCTCCTTCCTGTTTTGGTCGGCACACAAGGTCCCAGGCTACTAAGGGCATTCTATTTGTTTCCACTTTACCATCCCATAAGTAGTTCCTACACATTGCCGTAATACTTTTTAGGACTGTTTTGGGCAGTATGAAAATTGAAGCCCAATATGTATGTATGTGCATCAAGACTGCATTTATCATTTGCACTCGACCTGCATATGATAGATTCCTTGAACCCCAGCTGTTTATTCTGTTAGCCATCTTATCAACTAGTACCTGACACTCCACTTTTGAGATCTTCTTTGAGGAAATTGGGACTCCTAAATATTTGAATGGGAGTCTGCCCTTGCTATACCCTGTCATTTCACATAAGTCCTCCATTTCTTTTGCTTCCATGTTCACTTCAAATATATTTGACTTTCCTGCATTTGTTGTTAGCCCAGAAGAGTTAGTGAATGTTTGTAATCCTCTCTGTAATAGTATCACTGATTGGATTTCCCCTTTGCAAAAGAGAAGAACATCATCCGCAAAGCATAAATGATTTAGCTGCAAGCTTCTACATTTGGTGTGGAATTTAAACCCCTCCATCTGTGTGACATGCTTCATTATCCTTGAGAAGTACTCCATACATATTACAAAGAGTAGAGGAGATATTGGATCTCCTTGTCTCAGACCCCTCTTCCCTTTTATATTTCCATAGAATCCTCCATTGATTGCTATTGTATATTGTGGTGTTGAGATGCATTCCATGATCCACCTAATGAATTTCATTGGGAAGTTTAGTGCGTGTAGCATTTCTTCCACAAACTCCCACTCTATTGAATCATAAGCCTTCTTGAGATCTATTTTAATCAGACAGTTTTTTGTTGTTGCCTTCCTCTTGTACAGTCTGACCAAGTCTTGACATATTAGAATATTCTGCATGATTGTTCTCCCTGCTACAAAAGCACTTTGGTTTTCTGAAATTATGTCTGGTAGAATAGTCTTCAATCTGTTGCATAGCATTTTGGAAATGACCTTATAGATTGTATTACAGCATGCAATAGGCCTGAAATTCCCTGCTGCCTCTGCATGATTACTTTTAGGAATTACTGTGATGACTGTTCTGTTCATTGTTTTCAGCAATTTCCCTGATTCAAAAAATTCCAGTGCTGCCTCCTTTAGAGCTTTACCTGTTATTTCCCAGCTGTCTTTAAAGAATTTACTCCCATACCCATCTGGTCCAGGAGCTTTCTCACCATCTATTTGCCACAGAGCTTGTTTGACTTCTTTTTCTGTGAAATCTTCTATCAGAAATTGTCTTTGCCCCTCTGTTACTATCTTGTCTTCCCTTACCAGCGGACTGTAAACATGTTCTCTCTTGTCTGTAGTAGATCCTAGCAAGTTTGAATAGAATTCCACAAAAACCCCTGCTATCTCTTCCACATTTGTCACCTTGTTGCCCTTAGAATCCTTGATAGATAAGATCCTATTAGCATTTCTTCTTGCCTTCATGTAGCTGTGGAAGTACTTGTTATTTTTGTCACTTTGTTTCAGCCATTGTACTTTACTTTTCTGCCTCAGGAACTGGTCACTTGCTTCCTTGTATCTCCTGTATCTGCTTGCCAATTGCTGCTCTCTTTCAATAAGATCTTGGTTTAGGGGATTTAGTTGTATGTGTTGCTGACATTCCTCCAAATCCTTCTTAGCTTGTTCTGCTTTTCCTTCTATGTTGCTGAATTTTGTTCTGTTTAGTTGCTTTAATACTCCCTTTAATCTGTTCATCTTCCCTACTATTTGGTACATTTTTGTTCCATTTATTTCATTGCTCCAGCTTTCAGCCACTTTATCTTTGAAATCTGGATCCATACTCCACATGTTGAAATATTTGAAATGCTTATTCCCCATCTGCTTCCTGTTATCCCAACTAATGATAGCTGGGCTATGATCATACAACCCCTCAGTCATATAGTGAATAGTTGAGGCAGGTAGCACTGTTATCCATTCAAAATTTACCAATACTATCAATTCTACTCATTACTCTATCTTCTCCACTCTGTTTGTTGTTCCAAGTGTAGAATGCACCAGTAGATTTGAGTTCTTGAAGGCAACATGTATCAACACATTGTCTCAACTCCTTTGTTTCAGCCACTGTTACTTTGCTTCCTATCCTTTCATCAGTATTTAGCACATTGTTGGAGTCCCCCATCACTGCCCGTGGGCCCTTATTGCACTTGTATATTTCTTCTATATCCTTCCACAGATTTCTCCTTAAAGCTATATCATTATATGCATATATCATGGTAACATTAATGTTCTCTCCTGTTCCTCTATGCTTGATTGTACTATGAATCAACTGATCAGTAGTTTTTTGAATATCTACCTCAAAAATATTTGGTTTCCACAGTAACCAAATCCTTCCCTTAGGATGTTGAGCCAAATTTGTTGTAAAGGACTACCCCTCACAAAGATTAAGAGAAGCTCTATGAGCTTTAGATCTCTTAATCTTTGTTTCTAGGACACCAAACAGACTAGCTCCACTGTTGTGCATAAACAGATGTACTTCTCTTTGTTTATCTAGTCTGTTTAGTCCCCTTACATTCCAGAAGCCTAGCTTATCCATTGGGCAGGGGTCTTTCCCCACCCCTCCCATGTCCTGGCCCCTTCACCACTGGTTCTCCCTTAGGGTTAGAAGAACTAGCTTTATTCTGCCTCATTTCCTCTATGTCTCCACCTTTGTTGAGCACCTCAAATGCATTCCTTGTTGCTATAGCCATGGGGTTGTTCTGCTGTTTCTCTACCACTTTTCCTTTTGCTTTGTTTTCATCTCTTTTGTTCTCCTTATTCTGAGTAGGGCCTTCTGTTGCTTTCTCTGACACTTCCTCTTTAGTTTTGCCTTCATCACTTGTGTTCTCCTTGTTCTGAATAGGGCCTTCTGTAGTTTTCTCCTCCTGTTCCAGCTGTTTTCTTCTAGTTTCTGCTTCTTCTCTATGTAGTTTCCTGCAGTCTTGTAACTCATGCCCAAAATTTTTACAATTTGGACATAATGTTGGCTTCCATTCATAATACACCTCTTGCTTTACTATTCTCCCCACCTCATTCTCAAACATAACCTGCTTAGGGTATTGCTGATTTATGGATACTTCCACGAGAACTCTGGCAAATGCTAATCTCTCCTTGTTTGTAGTAGCTCTATCTGCTTTTAATGGCTTCCCAATCAATCCAGCTATTTTTGTGAAGGCATTCTACCTCCAATACTTGATATCCAAGCCTTTTAGCCTTATCCACACTGATATTCTATCTATATTTTCCTTACTTACATCCATATCTGGTTCCCAAGGCTTCACTACAATAGGCTTTTTATCAAACATCTGGACTCCATCTTCAATGACTTGAGTTCTACTTTCAACAGTGTGAAATCTAATCAGGAACACTCCTCTGTTTATTTGTGCAATTTTATCTATCCCCAACCCTCCCCATATTCTTCTGAAATATCCATCAATTACAGTCAACGATGGATTTGATCCCAGTACATAGCATATCACTGCTGTTTTCCAGTACACGAGTTCATCCTTAATATCATCCATCGTAATTTTGACATTTTCCCCTGCTATAACCTCGCTATTTAGGTCTAAGCCTTCACTACTTGGTGCTATGCCCACAATTTTACTCCATGAATTAGTTATCATATTCAATTGTACCTAGTTTGTTGCATTTGTCTCCGTAATTTCCGCTTCCACTCTATCCGCCCAGGATCCACCTGAATGAATCACCGGAGTTGTTGCCGGATTCAATGGAGTCTTCATCACGTCAATTGTGTGCTCTGCATGTGCAATTGGCATCGTCGATGATCCTTGACTGAGACCTAATGGCACAATTCCTTGGATTGCATTGATGTTCCTCGTCTTTTTTGCATCTGCTGACTGTGGAACTCCAGTTCTTCGCGACTGATTGGTGGAGTTTTCTACCATGCGTTGTTGCCCTCCCCCTCCATTCTTCGTTCTTCTCGTCATTTTAGTGTTACCTGTGAGAGGAGAATTCATTCTATAGAGAGAAAGATTTGAAATAGACACATATGGACTCATTTATTCAAACTTCTTCTATGAAAATTCACACAATAAGTAATTATGCGATTCAATTTGTCACTGTCTTCTCATTATGCCTACAAAATCATGGATTCACTATTATGCCTTTGATAAAAGGATTATATTATATACATATAGGAATTTTTACATCCTATAGAAAAGGTTAACACCTTATTTATATTAAATAAATACCTACCATTTAAATAAATTATATCCTATAGATCCTATAGATACCTTTTATGGTTTATAGCAAAATTTCTTATTTTGGTTATCTCCTACACTTAAGCCACAATACACGTTCTTTCTCTCTCTTATTTTGATACACTCTATTCTCTTTCCCATTCACTGTAAACTCGCCCAAAACCAGAGAAACTCTCACCCACACCGCTTCCTTCTTCCCCAATCTCGGCATAAACCCTAATTTTCGCTCGATTGTTGTCATTTTGTGACGACCCAAAGGGTCATCACTTGTTTTCTCATTCATTTTTTGCTTCCTAGGCCTTGAAAACCTCATTTTTAGTTGCCTCGATTTGCGTGCGCAGTCCGGGCGCGTTGCCGGAAAGCTAAAGTATGAAATCTGTGTGAAAAATGATGAATTTTGATATTAATATGATTAAAGTTGACTTTGGTCAACGTTTTGGGTAAACGGACCCGGACCCGTGATTTGACGATCCCGGAGGGTCCGTAGAAAAATATGGGACTTGGGCGTATGCGCGGAATCGAATTCCGAGGTCCCAAGCCCGAGAAATGATTTTTTGTGTGAAATTGTTTTCTGAAATTTATTAAGAAAAATGGAAAGGAAATTTGATCAGAAGACTATGTTATCGGGCTCGTATTTTGGTTCCGACATCCGGTACAAGTCTTATATGTGATTTAAGCGCTTTCTATAAAGTTTGGTTGAAAACGGACGTCATTTGACGTGTTTCGGACTTAAAAATGGAATATTTATGTTTTATGAAAAGTTGGAAGAAATCATGTGATTTGAGACTTGATTCTATGTATATGATGTTATTTTGGCAATTTGATCGCACGAGTAAGTCCGTAGGATGTTTTTGAGGTTGTGTGCATATTTGGTTTGGAGCCCCGAGGGCTCGGGTGAGTTTTTTTTGAACTTTGGAAAAAAATCTGATCCTTCAGTTCTGGTATCTTCGCATTTGCGAAGAAATTCTCGCAAATGCGAGTCCCTGATCGCAAATGCGAAAAAGGGAATTTCTGTCTTGGGTCGCAAATGCGACCATCTGGGTCGCAAATGCGAACTAGAGCTGGTCGCAAATGCGACATTTCAGCTCGCAAATGCGAAACTTCCCCCTTTGCCCAGTGTTCGCAAATGCGAACTACTTCCTCGCATTTCCCAAGCCTGCTGGGTTCGCAATTGCGAACCCATGTTCGCATTTCCCATATCTGAGGCCTGCAATTTTTCATACTTAGACGAATTTTTAACCCCTTTTCTTCATTCTTTCAAAACACAAACTCCATAGGCGATTTTCCAAGAAATCTATCTTCTCCAATCATTTGTAAGTCAACATTTACTTAATTTCTTCAATCTTTAACATCATTAGACATGTTTTCATCTTAAAATCAAGGATTTCCATGGGTGAAAATTGAGATTTTGGGTAGAACTTAGGTTTTCTTAAAATTGGGATTTGGACCTCAATTTGAGGTCCGATTTCAAAACTAATCATAGATATGAATTCGTGGGGGAATGGGTAACCGGGTTTTGGTTCGAACCTCGGGTTTTGACCACGTGGGCCCGGGGGCGTTTTGGGAATTTTTGAGTAAAACTTTGGGAAATTCATTTTCATGCATCCAAATTGATTCAATTACCATTTGTTGATGCATTCAAGTAATTTGTGACTAGATTCGAGCGGTTTGGTGGTGAATTCGAGGGGTAAAGCTATACTAGAGACTTGAGTTGAGTTTGGAGCATTTGAGGTAAGTGTTTGGTCTAAGTTTGGCTTGAGGGAATAGGAGTAGAGTCTTATTTGTTAATTGCTATTTGTCGAGTACGGTGTATAGGCATGGTGACGAGTATCTACACACCGGTGTCGAGCATGACCGTGAGTCCTAATTTGCTAAATTATCGAATTTGAAATTGTTAGTTATGAGGAATTGGTTGGAAATCTTTAACACTGAGCCAGTAATTGTTGAGACTAAGTGTGGATTTAATTGTGTTAAGTAGAAATTGAATGAGTTTGGTTATAGCTGGATCTCCCTTGCCGGGACAGTTTATTATATTACATTGCTCCCTTGCCGGGATAGTTATTATAACATCTTTCTCCCTTGCCGGGATTATGTTATGTATTGTGTTTAAAGAAATGGGATCGTGTGGCACGCCGACCACGAGATATTATGAAATGGGATCGTGTGGCACGCCGACCACGAGTTATTATGAAATGGGAACGTGTGGCACGCCGACCACGTGATATTATTGTAATGGGAGCGGGTGGTACGCCTACCACGTGATATAAGGAAATGGGATCGTGTTGCACACCTTCAATGGGAGCAAATTGAAATAAGTGAAAGTGGTTTGTTTTCCTTTATTCTGTGTTAGAAGAAATCAGATGTAGTTTCTTCTGTTATTCCTGATATTCTGTTTTATCTGCTTCCCCATAAGCATGTTTCCCCCTCCCAGCTTTAATTGCTTACTTTCCGCTATTATTTTGTTGTACTTGTATATATATATATATATATATATATATCTGCACAGGTCTATCTGGTAGTCTGGTCTAGCCTCGTCACTACTTCGTCGGGGTTAGGCTAAGCACTTACCAACATATGGGGTCGGTTGTGCTGATGCTACACTCTGTGCATTTTTTTGCACAGATCACAGTACCAGAGTAGCAGCTTTTGGACAGCAGTAGGAGCATTTTGGGAGCTGACTTTAGTCCAGAGATCCCGAGGTAGCCTTGCTGACGTCCGCATGGCCCGAAGTCTTTTCTATCCTTATTTCGTTTGTTGTCCTTGTACCGGAACAAACAGTATTGTATTTTATTCAGACTCTGTTTTTAGTATTCTATAGACGTTCGTGTGACTCCAGTCTTGGGTAGAGGTTGTAATGGAATTTCCGCACTTGTTTTCAGTTCATTTATATTTAAAACTTCTGCTTTTATATTAAATGTCTCATTGCCTTAGTATTGTCGATGTTGCCAAAAAGGTTAATAATTAATTGGCTTGCCTAGCTCCTAATAGTAGGCGCCATCACGACTCCCCACGGTGGGAAATCCGGGTCGTGACACATTTGTTGCTATAATTTCTCTTAATCTTAATCTTCAAGGCCCAATTGTTGTGGATTTCCAGTGTAACCCTCCCACCGCTGGTGCTTCTGTCACTTCCTCTGCAAATCATCTCTCTGTCCGAATTATCCATTTTCAAATGCATGATGCTCCTTTCAATCTCACTGCTTCCCAATTCATCAGCCTCATTCGCCACCGTAGCATTTGTCGTCCCAAAAATTCACAGTGTTTTCAGGCAGTCCATTCGATTTAACGTCCATGCCTTCCTGAATAAACCACTGGACTCGAGCTCTGCACCGGCCTCTAATCGACCATCCATACTTGTCTCTGTATTTCATGTATTTTATTGTATTCTCTGTCTTTTTTTTTCCATTGTATTTCAATGTATCCCGTTGTATTCTATGTATTTCATCGTATTCACTGTCTCGCTATATGCCATGAATGTATTCATAAGTTTTTTTTAATTAATATAATTTATGTATTCAGATGTATTATATAATTTCTCTGAAGATTGCTATGTTCTTGGGGGTATTTTCTAGTTGAGAATCTATTTTATAATTGAAAATACAAATTTTGTGTGTTATAATTGAGTTTGTTGAGTTATATTAGGAGTCTATTATGTTAATTGATTCACTTTCCATTTTAAAAACACATTGTAATCCCCTATTTCACGCCGTGAATACAGTCGAATACAATAATCTGTCCAAATGTAATCCCATGTTTCACTCCATGAATACAGTCGAATACACTCGAATACAACAACTTATTAGCTGGACTTCCCTGATTCACGCCTATTTTTGCTACTGTATTCATGAATACAATAGCTTAAATACACCAAATATATCTTATAACCACATAAAATGTATCTATAATCCGTAATATAGCAAATGGTATTTATAAATGGTTAATTACTACTAAAAGATAGTGATTTATGAAAATTTCTCTATAAAGTATATGCTAATGGGTAAAAGAAAATATAATACCTGATTCACAATTGCTAGCACTATGAAGGAAGAAAACTCCAATCTTTTCGCTGAATTGATTTGGGAACACTATTCGACTCAACTAGGAAGTAAAACCTAGAGGCAAAGAAAACTTAATTTAAATACTCCGTTTGTTCTCTTAGTAAAAGGCAAATTATAGGGCCCACTTCTTATTTACATATTTTAGGCTACTAGTATCTATTAACGTGCGTTGCACGTTAATAATGATACATGATGGTTTAAATATTTATTTATATGAAGGAATAATAAATTTAATTAATGAGAG